TTATTGTTATTATTATTATTTCGATTCTGGTTTCTTCGTTCAATCATGACTGGATAGGTAGATAAGTATGTAGTTCTTGTATTGCAGTCGAATATCGTGCTTTTGAATATATGCAATCCAGAATCTCCTCAAAGGTATTCTTCACATCACATGGCAAACAGCCAAACAAAAACAAAAAAAGAAACACGGGATTTCCCATTCCGCTTTATTCATGTGTTGACTCATCCATCCAGTTGTAGAGTTTTTGCCTTCAAATCCCCAGATGGGAAATCATGGAATTCCCCACACTCTATTCATTCATTCATTCGTTCACTCATCCATTCATCCATTCATCCATTCATCTCTTCCAGAAAAAGAAGCAACACTAAGAAAGATCGCACGAGGGTTTGGAGATCCCCGTTGCAATATTGATATTCAAGGGATCGGAAACAGATGCCAGAAAAAGAAAGAAGAGAATGAATCAATATAGGAGCAAAAGAATTGACATCAAACAAAAAGAATCACATGATTGGTATTTATTTCATTTATACCTATGTCAAAGGAGAGGAAGAAGCTGGGAAGGAACAGATAAATCTAGAATGGGGTATATTTATTTGTTTATTTGTTTATTTGTTTATTCATTGCTTGGTTGATTGATTCAAAGATTGGCGACATCCTATTCGTGCGCATCGTATTACGACGCATCGTTGGATGATGTATGTGTGTAGCATGTAAGTAATCTACACACTAATACGGTACATACATCCGATAGGGATTTACATACCTCGGTATGGGATCAGAGAAGAACTCCCTCCGTATTGGTACGGAGAGACCGTGAGTGAGTGATAGGCCTCGTCTCGGATGCGACGAAGTGAAATCCTGGTGAGGGAGGTAGGTAGCTGGGTAGGGAGGGAGCCTTGCCCACCAGTGATCTTGCGACTTGGTGGTTTGGTTTCGTTCGTTGGTGGGATGGATGGAGGGAGGGTCATCATGAGATGTGCAAAATAAATGCATATGGAGATACCAAGGTATGAATTCTTTCCTATGATTCGCATGGATAATTGAGGGTATGAGGACTAATGGTACTGGTAATGGTAACGGGCAAGACAAGGCGTAATTGTGAAAGTAAATAAGTAAACAAGTATCTGAGTATAGAGTGGAGATAGACCAAGTAAACGTTGATCTGAAGGACTCCGTATTGATGGCGAGAGAATAGAAAATAAAATCAAGAAAATAAAAATACAAATCCCTGCACCACTCTCACATTATTTATTTATTTATTTATTGATTATTATTTTCTAACTCTCCCCATTCCAACATTTCCGTCCCCTGGGTCTTGGAAATTGTCAACAAGGGATCGAAGCGATGAATGCCCTTAACAGGCGCCACGGCTCGCTTGGATCCTCGTACCGGCGGTTGAGCGCCGGGAGATTCGAGGAGATTGGAATACATGTTCACATGTTCACATGTTCACCATGAGAAAAACGCTCGGGCGGCGCGTTATGATTTTGAGGATGGGTGCTTGCTTACTTGTGTGCTCGATGAGCCTGAGCCTGAGCCTGAGCCTGAACCGAAAACTCGGAGAGAAGGAAGATATGGTTTGTTTCATTTGTTCTGGAACAGTAGTTGAGAGTTGGGAAGCGGAGTCGGGAAATGGGAAATGGGGATTGGGAAATGAGGGATGTGGATGTGGATGGGGATGATGGGTAGGTAGGGAGGCGCTCGTATGGCTTTGATAGAGAGAAGGGAGATGAATAAATGAATCGTGAATGAAGGGCATCACAGACTTGATTCAGGTGATGAGCTTTGATTCATTTGTGATCCTTTAGATGGAAATATCATGGATGGATAAATGGATGGATCGTCGTCGTTACAGTAGTGGTAGTACAAAGTCATAGAACAGGAACGGCATTATGGAGCAACTGCTTGTGTTCTGTGTGCATTACCCACCTGCCCGCTGGGGAGACGAAACGGGAAGTGTGCGTGTTTCGGATTTGGGGTTGGGGTTTGAGGGTTTAGTGGATGGGATGTGGATGGGATGTGGATGTGTGTGCTATTTGTGTGCTATGTATGTGCGGTTTGCGATGTGTGTGCAATGTGGTGGGTGCTATGTGATGTGCAATGTGCTATGAGCTACTACAGAGAAGAAGTTGAGTAGGATGTTTGAAGTCTGTGAAACTTATCTGAGGACGCAGGATTGTCTGTTTACTCCCTCCGCATGTAGAATGTTGTGACTTTGATTATCATATCATATTTCACTCTGTGCTATACGCCATGGGCTATGTACTATGTGCATACCAATGTGTTTAAGAATGCATGTATGGGGAGATATATTGACTGAGTCGTGATGTAAGGATCAATAGTATCCATCGCATCAACACACTATTAAATGTATATTTTCCATACCACTGATTGTCAGACAGATTTGAATCAATGAAATGCATGATATCGATTATCAATTATTCATTCTACGAATGGTGACATTCTCAATCACGTTCTCAATGCATAGCACAAGGTCTTGATTACAAGTACTCTGTACGAAATGCATACCTCGTGGAATTTAAAGAGGTTCATGCACTCCACAAAACCACACCACACCACCCCTTTTTTTCCAAACACCCCAAAGGCTAAGCAAGTCAAGACCCTGGGTCGTCCCGAGAAAAAAAAAGCTTGTCAGTGCTTTCACTCAATCCATCCAATGCATTCAAACTTGGTTCAAAGTATCTTTTGCCCAGTTCTTCCCAATTCATTCGTGGATAGTTTCACATTCCCCAGTAATATGTAATGTATACGCAAACGTCATTTATATCATCTCATCCAAAACATCATATGGATCTAATCTCCTTTTAACTTTCGCAAGCACCGAGATATAGCCCTTTTGACTTACTTGTGCTATCATATACCTTTCCTTCCCGTGGCCGTGGCGTCTCTAGTCCCAATCCCCGGATTCTATTCTTCCCCTCCCCGAGTCCCTTCGAAACTATCCTGCTCCAATGTGCCGATTTCTTATGCACATCCAGTATAGCTTCAAACAAGCTCATCTCCCACCTATCCAGAATCGATTGGGAAATCTTCTAGAAACCCTTCCTGAAGACCCAATTTGGTTGGACTCAGTATACTATGCTGGGTACGCATTGATGTGATTTTGATTCTATTGATTAACGAACCGGTAACAATGTTTCCGCGACCCGTGAATTGCTTTATGGATGGGAAGTGGTTGATCTCATTTCTTTTCGGGGATCTTTGTATGGGAATGATTCAAAGTTTATTTTGAAATTGGGGATGGAAGGTAGAGATGAGAAACAGGGGTTTTTCTTTTGTCTCTGGGTAGATATTCTTTTCATTCTTTTCATTCGGATTATTATTATTATTTTATTATTATTATTATTGTTATTATTGTTTTCGATTATTTTCGATTATTTTTAAATCTCTTGTTCTTATTTGATTTCGACCTGGGTTTATTTCCATCTACGAAAGTACGAGATGTGAGTCGGGATCATCAGAAGTGGAGGATTGGGAACCACGGAAGAAATACTATATCGAGTATTCCGACACAATCAATTCCCAGCCAAATTGCATGCGTTGCTCACTCACTCGCGTGCTTCCAGATTGTCACAAAAGTCCCTGCAGATTCTAGAAGTGAATATAGCCTGTGAAAAGATACTACCCTTTGTGCATACGTACATACATGCATGCGTATATACAACGGCTTTCTATTGTCAAGGCATGTTCAAGTATATTACTGAGGAGGATATCATATCCATCAGGATCACGCAGTAATAGAATCGATACAGATCAATCTATGTAAGACGAACAGACGTTAGGCAAGTAAACGATAGATAAGATTGCTACCCTTCGCGGAGCATGACGAGCGGGGCTGGATGGGGAACCCAAAATCTCACCCGAGACGATGAGGCGTGTAGGCAAAAGGCTTTATCACTTCATGTGATGGAAAAGGATGATACGGGCAGTGAGATGAGATGAGATGAGATGACATTCTTCAACGGGGAGGAACGGGTGATATTGCTCGGTCATTGAGTACTTGATATGGTAAGTTTGCTTGCGCGACGTATACGTGAGGATGAGGAATATCGCAGCGGAGATGGATGGATACGGGGAAGGGAAGATGGCTCGCGGATGGAGATTTACCGTGCCGCGAGTATGAGGGTGAGGGTAAGATTCTAGAAGAGAGTTTGGGAGGAAATTGTCTGTACTGGTGGTAAAGCATTCTCGCAATGATAGTAAATACTTTTCTGCAACAACACATATCTCTCGATTTCATAACGTGACGATAGCCAATATCTCACTGTATCAAGACACGATAACATGATTGAGCACAGCATCAAACTACAACAATCTATAATACAGTAGATAATATCACCAGCTGATTAAACCTCCAAACCTTCCTCGTCAAATCCCCTCGTATTCATTGGACGGAAAATTATCGGAACAATTTATCCGAGCGCCGGTAAAATTTGGATGAGCCGCCTGGCCGCGACACAAACACGAGATCAAGATTGGGTCTAGAATTTTTCACATGATTTTTGCTTTTTATCATCAGGGATCATTTTGCGGTCTGGACTTTAGATTCTCACTCGATTCATGAAAATCAGATTTCGGGACAGAGAATAAGAACCTCATCGTCGTGTGTGTTAATGGAGTATGGTAGATTTGTGAGAATAGATCACGCTTCACTTCATCTCACATAATGGGAAAGTCTCTTTGGATATGTTTAAAGGGTAAAGAGACTTATGCAGGTACCATTACGAAATTGTTCACTATTTTCTCAATAGTCTTTTGACGATACCCCTCCTCGGATTCATTCATTCCTTCATTCATCCAATCATTCATTCGCTTGAAAAACATATCCGGATTCTTCCAGACCATCCATCCATACCAAAATACCCATCCCAGAAGTTCCAACTCCAAATTAACCATTCATATTATCCCAACCAACCACGCGACTCATATCAATTTAACCACACCAACACAATAGGGCATCAATACCCCAATTCGAAATCATGTGTCAAAACCCACGCGTGGTAATTGGCGCCGTAGCGAAAAAGCGTGGTAGCCCTGTTTGTTTGCCCTACCAATCCTTGCTTCTCATCGCTTCCCGTTCTACAGATTGCCAATGGTGGACGATACTCCGGGATTAGTTCGCGTAAAGAGATCCTAGCAGCCGGACCAACATCCATGTGGATTTCCGCACGGCGGTTTTTCGATTTTGGCGTATCCTGGGAGTGGGGAAGTCAGGATGAGTTGAGGTGGTATTCGGGCCGGTAGGGACTTCAAGCGTAATGTGGGATGCCTCCGAGGAATTGGAGCTGGAACTTTGGGCGTGAGGAGTCTGGATGCTGGATGCGGATGATTGGGATAGTGAAATTGCAGGGGATGGTTTGGGGATTAGGAATGGCTGGATTAGGAAATGCGGAGGGAATGGCTTGGGCTGGGATTGATCATGTGATTTTAATCACGAGTGAGGGATGCAAGAGAGATAGAATAGGTGAGATGAGTGCCGAGGTGTTAATACTCACGAGTTACTCTATGCTGACGACAAAGGTCATATTTGGATATCATGTGAGATGCTTCTGGCTTCGAGCTCAAGTGCACAAGAGATTATCGTCGTCGCAAGAATATCTATCGCAGAATACCTATCAGGTAGCCATCTTCGCATGTGCAAGGTAGCTAAGTCTAGATGCAATATATTTAAATCCCGAGTTCCAAACTTCCCTTTCGTCTCCATCTCAATTCATCTCTCTCTATCCCACGAGGAACACAGGTTTGGGCTCCCTACTCACAAACCGACATCTAGGATTCGAATCCCCCAAATATCCCAAGGTTATCAAATTTCAAAATTACCACGCGAGGCATACAAGATGCAATCTGGAAAATCCCATGTGTAAACGTTACATGCGCTTTATCGCAATACAGAAGCGAGATGTCAAAGGTGTACAGGTTACATCAATTTCCTAATTCGATCTATCTCTCTACCGATGTTACGGGCGTAGGTACTCCACTCCCACGTTTATTTCATCGGTTGGAGGGTTTGGTGTGAAATGGGAGTTTGAACTGTGATGAAGGGATTGATAATGATAATCAATGAGGACCTGATGCCCGTTATTGGGGGTCCGGATAAGAGATTATCGGGTAGGGGAATTGGTTCGAAAACGGAAGGTAGACTTTGGCGAAATCCTTCATATGCCAAATCTGATTTGGTAGGTATAACCCCCACGAATATGTGTTGTAAATTTGATCATCGGCGGTAAGGTTATAGCACGTGTTCTAGGATGGAATGGACTTCAATTCAATCAAATCACGGTAACCCGAGTTTTCTCACGATGCCTAAAATCAATCTTCTTGGGAAAATAATTGAGGAATATTGGAAGATACAACCAACGGTACGTGCAAACCCTATCAAGCTCTTGCCTATCCCATGAATCACAATCTCTCATCGCAGATTCCCGAAACAAGCCAACACAGACAAATCAATCAATCTCAAAATGATCAAAATCCACATCACACGTTTCTAGATAAAAATTACCTATCAAGCGATGAGCCCAGATCATTTGCATGTCCTTACACCGTCTCTTCTATCCCTTCATTTATCCATTTATCCTTTTATCCTTTTTATCCATGCTTCCATGTGTTCTTCCATCATTCTATCTACCTTCCAGACTATGTATGCTAGGCTGGCACGGCTGGAAAGACATCACTTAATTTCTTTCTTCTTTCTCAGAAGTAGTTTTCCGGGCTCTAGATTGTCTCACCGTGCTTCAACATCTGTGTTATGTAGATGGATAGGTGGGAATCAAAAATTGATGTCACATCACATCACGATGCATACATACATGTAGACATGGTCCCCGGCGGTATTTGCAAAGAGCAAGGGGAGAAACGGGTTGGAAGTGAAAAGTTTCGCTTCCGAACATGCAGATGTGGAGTTTGGTGGGGAATGAATTGTTCCGGAATGATTTTTTTTTCTCTTTCGGTTCTTTTCTTCTTTTCGTATTACGATATATTTGAGGATTTTGGGAGGGGGGGACAGATATCGAGTACCGGTACCGACCGTTGGAATTGGGCTGCGCATGGGAGATGAGATGAGTCTAGGAATTTTAGCAAGTTGGACTGTGCTGTTTGGTTCATGGGACACATGGACGGACTTGGTGGACTTGGTGGAGACGGTGAGACAAGACATGTTAATTATACTCTGGCTCTTTGAGACAGACGGCTCGGCTGTACCATTTCACTTTTGGGTGGATTGACTTCCTACTGACGTATGTAATCTAGTGGAAAGGGAATTTGGAGTTGATTTAGAGTTTTAATGGAAATTAGAGGGGGGGATGACAATGTGTTGTTCCCATTGGTAGGAGGAATAGAAGTCGGTTTTTTGCTTGGTATGGAAAAACTCCATACCAACCATGTCAGTCGCATGGTAGATTTGGAAAACTCAAATAGAGTATTATTTGTTTCTTTCTTTCGTTATTTCTTTGCGGATCCGAAATTTGGTGGACGGAGGTGATGGGCTGCATATGCAGCATCGAGACTCGAGACTCGAGAAGTAGTGCAGTATGGAGTTATACGCATCTTGTGATTGTGAAAAAGGTATGGGTATGGGTATTGGAAAATGTACATCGAGATCGAGGAGTGTGAATTTGAAACAAAATGATGAGATAGTATCATCATTTTGAATTTTGGATCTTCAATGGATATTTGACTGATGGAATAGATTTTGTGTTGTTTGATTTGTGTGGGGAATATTGGAAATAATGGAAATATTGAAAACAAATATAAATACAGTTTTTTTTCGGGAAAAGTCATGTTTTATTTGCTCGGTTTCGATGACTGTTTTTGGGGGGGGGGTTGTCTGATAGTTGTGAGACTTCCTTCTACAAATGAGATACTTGAGTTTGAAGCCGTTCTGTCGGAATCTAGGTATCGATACATTGTAAATATTATATGGTAATTAAGATATCATATTCGAGTGAATGTATGTATGTATGTATGTATCACCATGCAACAAAGTATATACCAAACCAATCTTTTCGTTCATCATGCATCCATCCATTCATCACAATCTCTGACTCATCAATCCTCAAACCCGAATACTCGGAAAGAGGAATGAATATATCGGAGAGTTTTCACGCGTGGTGAAGAGCGGTCGGGACTTGGCTATTGTTGTGTTGTGTTGTGTTGTGCTGTGGTGGCTTGGGTTGGATTTCGTTGGGTGGTGATTGTGGTTGGGTTGTGTAATGTGGGATGGGTGGTTTGATGTGTTGCGGTATCTTGTTGTATGTTGTTTGGTGACAGGTTATGTCGTATCAGGCTGTGACGCGGTAAGTTGTGTGATTTGATGTATGATGCTATGCGATGTACGGGAATGGGATGGGGATGGGGATGGTATGGAGAGATGGGGAAATTGTTGGGCTTGAGGAGTTTTGAAGGTTATGAAGTTATTGCATTGGGTGGTTAGGCGGGTTGCAGAGGTTGAGGTGGATGTACATCGGATGGTTAATGATAGATGGATGGGTGGGTGGGAATATAGTGATATACTGCTGATGATGATTTATATCTATATCCATATCCATATCAAATTCGAATCTCCATCTACACAAAAAACTAAAAATAATACATATGTATATACGTTTCAACAATAAAGTGAGTGATCAGGATTCGCAACGACTTAGTTCTCTTTCGTTGTTCTTAAGAATAACGATGTGTGAGAACTGTGGGGTTTGGGTATGATGTACAATGTGGTGTATAATATGAGGAAAAGAGGGGTGGGATGGTATCGTATGTATGTATATATATCGCCCTCTGATCTTATGGCTTTTGTTCTGGGTTGTTTGCGTGGTACATGGATTTAAGTGTGGGTATGTGTGTGTGTATGTATATAAGAGATGTAAACACAAACCCGGAAATCAAATTCGGGAGACTAAATTGGAGGAGCGAGATGATAGAGTACTTGGTGTACAGTATATAGTATATATTGTATATTACATAGAATCCGAAAGTTTGAAAGAGAGGAGGGAAGAGAAGAGACCTCGGAGGTTGGGTCTGTGCTATGTGTAGAGAGAAAGGGGGAGAGATGTATCAAGTTCCGATGCCAAGTCGATCGATCGATCGACTGGTGAAGGTGGATGGTGAATGGATAATGGAATAGATGATGAGATGGATGATGGAACGGATGGGGGATGATGAGGAGGAGGGGTTTGTGTAATGTGGGTGTGTGTAAAAAATCTAAATCACGAATCTAGGACTTGAACTGGGGAGGTTGACTTGGAGGAGCGATATACAGTACTTCGTGCATACAGTTTAGGGATTGAGAGATCTTGGAGATTAGGTATATGGAGAAATATGGAGTTCCTGATGTGAAGTCGATGGGTCAATGAAAGTGAGTGGGTGGTAGGATGGAGGATGGATGATGGAGGGCTTTGTGTAATGTGGAGTTGGAATGGGATGGTGTTGGAGTGTGTGGTGTGTGGTGTGTAGATTACAGGATATAGGTTGTAGGATATAATATCTTTCCAGTTTTCATCTCGGGATATATATATATGTGTGTGTGTGTGATGATCACTTGCAGATATACATATACATATATACATACATACTTAGCGATATCTTTAGACTTTTTAGCTACGGAGATGTCTCCGTGTGGCTGTATACTTAGTTTGCTTATATACATATTTACTAACTTACTTACTCATCGATATCGTATATACGGGTTGAAGTTTGGAGTTTAAGGTGGGCGTTCTAAAATCTATATTTATGTAGTTTGGAGCTAAGGGAGAGTGTCTAGATCATTGATAGATAGATGGATGGATAGATGGATGTTATGTCCTCTTATATGCGTCGAAATTTGAGGTGTGAATATGAATGATTGGAAGGTAAACATGTAATAGTTTGTTCATTTGATATAGCTATGGGGTACTGTTAATATCGCGAAGATAATACGTGAGTGTACGGAATCAATCTATGTAAATTTTTCCTTCCCGCCAAGATCCAACGGGAATCTTGTTTTATGATCTGGTAAGAAGATAGATACCTACCTACCTACCCAAATACCCCCCAAAAGAGATCGGTACCACAAAACTCACGCCGTGTACCCACCCCCATCCGTCATTTCTTCATCCGTCCATCCAGAGCTTCCGCAAGTGGGGTTGTGAGATGTCAATATGCACTACCACCCTCCCTATGCATATATGCATGTGGAAAATCAGAATCAAAATATGTGCATCTGTGTGTACACAATCGATATTGTATCGCGTATACACTTCGCATTGTGATTCGTGCGCGTGGGGGTGAGGGGAAGGTCCGGGGAAGCGAGGAGGGGAAGGATGGGAACATGAGGGGAAGGGAAGGAGAGTATTTGTGTGTGTGTGTGTGTGTGTGTGTATGGAAAGTCGGATTAATTAATCAATGATTGCTTAAATAAACAAATAAATAAACAAGTAAATGTGCATGATGAATAACTGAATGAATGGAGGGAAGTACATATTTGTATGTATGTATATCTTTACTCTATCTACTCTCTGAAATTCTCAACGCAAGAAGCATTAATGAATAAATGCATAAATAAACAAATCATCCCAAATCTTTCAAAATCAAAAGCCTAGAATGATTAGCCAGGTTAAGCCAAGTCCAGCAGACAAGATAAATCAATTCGTGAATTTGTATTGTATTGCATT